TCTTTATAAATACTTAGTGTTGGCATCAAGTTCATTAAACACGAAACATCGACTTCGACTTGGACTCTTAGTGTAGTGTAGAACAAGAAATTCTCTATCGTTTGCATGGGAATTTCTATTAAAGTGATTTACACAATAGTAAAGTGTATATAAAAAAATTAATAGGCTTTACTGTTAATTGAGATAGTTCTTGTTGTTTTGTTGCTGGTCCTACTAATAAAATGTTTTGTACTGTTATTTTATGATTTTATTGTTGCATTTAATGCATTATGAATTCTGCGTTCCGATTCAATTGTAGATTTATTGCTAATAGGTTGGAGGGAAAGTTCCGTCGTATTTTAAATAGGCAGGTAAATTTTCTTGTAAATAAAAAAAAAAAAGTCATCAATAATGAATTCAAATATTTTCTTTAAAATGCGACAGAATTTTCCCTCCAACCTATTATTATGTAACTACGCTGCACTATGCTGTTTTCGTTAATCCTTAGTTCCTCTTACGCTTATTACTTTTCCAATGTATTTGCTTAATCTTGGTACTCTTTTGCTGCATTCTTTGCATTTTGATCTTTGTCCAGGTAATTATATGTTTATTTCTCTTTTCAGCAAAAAGCGGATAACTTAGTTATTCCATTTGCAAGGCGTATTAAGCATTTAACATAAGACTTACTGCCTATTAACGATTGAAACGGGATTATAATACTTATAGAGAACTGGATGATTGGTTACAACAAAAATAAATCGATGACTATGCGTAAAAAATGCTTGAGGAGTATGAAAATATAAATCGATTTGCCTCTTGTCATTACAACATTCTAAGTATTTCGCATCTGGTATTCTTTGAGGTTTAAAAGTTAGGAAAAAATTTGAAATTTGTTATACACGTCTTTGATCAGATCGAATAAGACGTTACCAGAAACGAGGTCAAGAAAGTAATTCAATCGTCTTCATTTTATAAATTCGATTTCAAGATGTGTCCTTAAGGTAGAAACGAATCAGATATGAGGTGAAAGAAGAAGGAAATCTGAATAACTATTAAAAGAGGAACTTCCTCCGCAGGGTCTTATCTGTTTTAATTGTAATCCAAGCTGGTAACTGAACCAAAGTTTAATATATAAAAACGAAAGAAACTTCAAGAGATAAGAAAACATTTATTGGTTGATGCACATTCTGCAAAAGCTTGGGTTCAATGCGCAGCTTATGCAGAAATTTTTGGATAGTGGGGTTACTGTTCTGCAATTGTACGCAAAGTTTCTCAACACATTTCCACCCCAAAGTTTGGGTCAACTGTTTGGTCGCTGTCCAAGACGCGGAATACACTTCTAAGTGTTCGACGTGGCAGGAGAAAGAATGTATGAACATATATACAGGAAACTCTATCGATTTTCTCTCAGTGTATTTCCACTACAACGTAAGGGGATATTTTTTAAAAAAAGTTTTTTCTCCGAAAACGCGAAAACAATTTTCCAAGAATGTCATGATGGAAGCGGCAAGAAACTCCACTGTCGAGTGCAAAGTGTGCCGGTATACCGCAGAAGCAACTAAGCTTCTGGTTCATTTAGATTTAGCAGGAAGCGCATGTGTTAAGCTAAGGCTGTTAGGCAAGACTTCTAAAGAGACCCGCACAGCAGTTTTTTCTCAACTGGATCAGCAAATTCTAATTAGCTTGCTCTTAGAAACCAGATTTCCAATGCGAGACTGCGCACATCTCTTTTAAGTCGAGAAGTTCATAAATTGGGAGATGTTGGACGAGATACGTAAGCGTTCTGCTAATGCAGAATGTTGTCGAGTTAGTTTCAAAATGTCGCCATAAAAACGAGAAGTTGTAAATTTCCTTTAAGCAGAACCCAAAAAGTTCTATGGCAAGGGAATTGTAAAATTACCAGAAGTTTTTCATAAATGGATACTTTTTTAGACTCCCTGTGCCGTAGACCTTATCCTCCCGTTTTCGCTAAAAGTCTTCGGTGTTAGCGTACAGATTATACTAAGTATTTCATATTAAACCCTACCTGGGCATCCGGTTAGGGTCTTTTTTCTTAAAACCGTCCTTAAGCTCTTCATCGTAAATCTTAGTAGAACTATTCTCTAATACGAACAACTTAGGGTTAGGGGTTGTGTACCATAAAATGATTGGCATTTAAGTTTCACTTTAACAGGAATATATTTCTCTTCCATGGATTATTTGCATTGAAATTAGAATTTCTCTCTTATTCCGCATGCACTTTCTTTCAATTGACTAAGGCTTAGGCGCATCTGTTATGCGTACACTTCTTCGATATATACATGTCCTATATATATATATATATATATGTATATATATATATTTCTTACAAAGTAATGAGTTATAAATAATCATAATCAAAATAAAGTGTCGTCAATGATTTTAATAAGTGTGTTTTCCATTCATTTGATGAACAATTCTCTGTTACCTATAGCTATATAGTCACAGAAATTTATTTAGAAACTGCAGCTGATGACACTTTTGTATAATCAAATAGAATTTTCTATATTTATAGAAAAACCCATTAAATGTATTTAAAACGATACTTATACCATTTATTATATGTATAACGAGATATGAGTAAGAATTTGAGCAAATAATTGATTGGATGAGTTAGTTATACATTTTTGTCATTTTAAGTTCACTTTAGAGAGCGTTTTCTATTTTAACTCCTATCTTCTAAATGTGGAAATATATTTAGTGTGACATAATATGCAATGTCCGGAAATAGTATGCAATGAAAATTTCATAAAACATACGACCCTTCGATGTTTACGTGATTGGTTCTCATGCCCTTTGGTGTTCAATTGCATAACTAGTCTATTAATAGAGGAACACAAGATTTCATTATTTTTCTTCTGAATAATTTCCACAGAAAACCATGAAAAGGATCTACAGACTACTTTAGCAGGCCGATGTTTGAGAAGGGTCAGCAATTTTGTCAATTTGCCCCACTGAAGATAAACCATAAGCAAGAACGAAACATCCAAAAAAATTCTCTTTAGTGTGTGCAAACTGTTAGACGTGAAGCGAGCTGCAGTTGCTTGTGGTGCCGCCGTCAAATGCAATCAAAATAATGATATTAAGCTCCAGCTACCTTTAAAGGCAGAAAGAATTTCAATTTAGTTATCTGTCCGATATAATCCAGCCATTCCCGCTAAAATGGAAACTAATGCTAAATATTAAATCAGTACAGAGTTGCATCTTCTGTAACTCAAATGTGCTTAAGTCGGCTCAAATTAGGTTGAATTAATTTGTTTGAAATAAGAAAAGAGTAGAAAAATTATGCTATCTGTATCTCCTTTCAAAATGCTTCTACTCGATACCTAATTGGTTATATTGCTAAGAAAAAGCTCCATCACCTGATAGACCCCATGGCATTTATTTTAAAGTTAAGCCAATTTTACACGGATAATATATCCGTATATAATTTTGAACATTCTATCTTGTTCACCTTACGATCACTAAGCAGAAAGCGCAAAAGAAGTGGAGAAAAACGTGGCCACTTATAAGTTTGGGTGGACGCTTTCCGATAGAACGAAAAGAATATAATAATAGGCTTCTGCTTTAATAAATTCATCGGAGTAGAAAATTTCTTAAGCTTTTAAATCAAAATCTTTGCTTGTAATGAATTGCCAGTAACAAAATAAGTAACATAATCTCTTAGGAAATTCTTTATTGAGTTCACAGGCAACGGATCCTTTTAAATAATTTGATTTAAATTTTCGTTATTATTATTTTCGAGTCAAATTCCCATAAAGAGAAATGCAAATAATAAAAGAAATTTTTTCAAATATTCTTGTGTTTTGCTTTGCTTTCCTTCAACAGCAATTGTGTTTTGTTAATCGCCGACTTGCTCCAGTTATGCGGTTAAGTCCACAAGTTTATAAATAATGTTTTTGTACATATTTTCCTTCCTCACCCCTTAGACATTTTGTACTATGCATTATATTTAGTCAACTTGCACTTGTATAGAGAATATGTACCGTTAGAAGAGAGTTACATCGAAATGTCGTAGAAGAGCTTATGCGTCCTTGGAAATTAAATGAGTTTCAAATATGTATTCGCTCTATCGCTCTCTCTCTCTCTCTCTATATATATATATATATATTTATATATGTATGTATATCAAAATTTAATTTCACACTTTCGTGTTTGGTTAATGATAAATAGGATTTAGATGATAAAAGAACGCGAGATTTTGCTATAACTGAATGACAGAATGAATGAAATGAGACATATGGGCGAAATTCATCAACTAAGCCTTACGTAATTATAATGAGATTTCTACCACAGTGCTACCACACATCACATCCTACAGTTTCTCTATATAGATGGAGAATTTCATCAAGGTCTACGTTCAGCTTTTATGAATTTTATATAATATATATATATATATATATATGTGTGTGTGTATGTGTGTGTATGGGAACACGAGTTTGAAATAAGAAAAAGGTTTTGTGCAACTCTTTGAAAAATATTATTTGGAAAGAGCTTTATAGAAATTTTCTAAACAAAAATGTTATTTATTTACCTTAGGTATGAATGAATACATACATATACGTACGTATGATTTCATAAGTTTACAATTAAATAAAATGTTGCAAAAGAATAACTTTTATTATTATTATCATTATTATTGTATGCATATACAATTTTTTACATTTTATTTCATTTTTTGTTTGTTTGTTTGTTTGGCATTTCATCGACACACAAAAAAGGTCACGTGTTGCCTGTTGCAAATCTACGTTCTCTGAAGCTTTTTTGAGAGATGAATGCGGGCACGCTCGGGCCCACATTCATACATTATGCCATCCTCAAAGCAAATGCTTATGCCTGAATTTCTTTGACTGACTACACTAGAAAAGTTTATATAAAAAACCGAAAATTATTATATTTTTATCCTTATTTTTAAATGCTTGTTATGTTTTTATTAAAGAAATCTAATTATATTAATATCGACAACATTCATACATTCATAAGCGGTTGAATATTTTCCTTACCTGTGCTTAGAATTTTTCCCAAAAGCTCCTTCGCTACGTTATTTTCTGACCTCCAAGAGTGAATGTTGTTTTGCAATTATTTAATTATTTCTTTTTTTAAAGAGAACAAGTTGTGCAAAACTAATCCACTTTAGTTAATTAAAATTTTTACTTGCATATATTTATTTTTTGAAAAGTTTTTTTTTTTCGTTTTTTAACATTATGTTTTTAAATTCAAACATTTATTCCATAAGTAAATATTATTATTTTTTTTTTTTTTTGTTTAAATATTTATTTATTTATTTACTTTACTTTTTTTTTTTTAATAAATATTTTTATGAAATTGAAATAACAAGAATAATGATTAAAAGACCTTTTTATATTTTGGGTTTTTTCACACATATATTACACGATTTTGTTTAATATTATTTTTATGCTTTAAATATATGCTATTGCAATTAATTATTATTTATTACGTGATTTTGATTAAGAAGATTATTCCATTTTTTTTCATTTAATGTGTTATAAATAATATTGGAGTTGCCCTTCGTCCTGTCAATTAAGGTGAGTGTATTTCTGAAAATGTATTTAAAAAATAATTTCTTATTAAAAAGAAATTCACATTTAAAAAAAAAGTGATAACATTTTTGCACTTCATATAGGATAATAATATTTATTATGTTAAGTTCCTCTTTAGTTTTTTCCCTCTTACTCTTAACTTATGCGAAAATTTGAGTTTTATTATAAACACAATATAGTGGGACTAGTCGCGCCATTAAATCACGCTCCACTGAGAAGTGATTGAGAAAGTGGCCTTTCCCGAACCATTCCCAATATCGTTCGTTCTTCAGTCCATGCACCAAAACGTCAAACATATGGGAGGACCGGGAGGCAGACAAACTTCTGAAAGTGATTCTGAATCTATCTGTATAATAAAAAAAGATCTATTTCACTTCCTTCTCTGCATTAAATGCATCCGCACAAACTTAATATACTTTTGTACCACACATGATATAGGATATCAGAGTAGAGTGGCTCGATTTTTAGATATTTAAGCCTTGGGCTATTTGGTATGCGTCGGTATACGAACTTTTATCAAAATATCTCACCGCAACAGAAAGTACTATGACAGACGTTAGACAAAAAGACGGACACAGAGTTAAACACGCACAGGTCGATACTGAAAGGAAATCTCAATCGACCGATTAGATGAAAAGCAGACCCATCTCAAGTCCTGTTGTAAACGTTCTTGTACCAAAAGCAGTGTACAACACGAACATAGAGTGAAGCGAGTTTTAGGTGTTTAGAGGTGCAAAGAAGGGGTCTACAGCACCAATAATGAAATCCAGAACATTTCTCAATTAAATGGTTATTATGCAAACTGTTATTATTATTATTATTATTAACATTATTGGTATTGTTATTATTTTTTATTTTGGTTACTTTGTTTAATACTCTTCTATATAAAATCACATAAATCGTGGCGTATGTGAGTAAAATGTTTAAATTTCTTTATTCAGACACTTTTAGGTCTCTATGTCTTAAAGGTTTGCAGGCCTGTACTATTACGGCCCATTGTATTTGCTTATATTTAGTTCAAGCTCTTCTAGTCGTTTTTTGGAGTTTGTGATATAAGCCCTGTAGGGTATTATCTCCGATCTGCTGCAGTTTCTTGGTTGCAGTTCTTTACTGCTATCTGTTGCTTCAATAATTTTCTAAAAACACTGTTTCGTTGCTAATATTCTGTTGACGGAAGATTGGTACGTCCTAATACGATATGATGCATGTTTTCAGTTTGATATAATGGCAGAGCAATCTTTTACAGGCAGAGTAAACTTTTAAGTGGTTTCTCCTATAATGTCTCTCTCTCATCTGGTTGGTGACAGCCACGCTAGGCGCTTCTGTTTACGGGAATAGCCATTCGGATGTAGGCCCATAGATTTAAGCCGTTTTGTTTATTTGCTCTTGATCGCATTCGTTTCGATGTCGCCCCTGCGTTGGTTTAAGGCGAGTGGACTCACATTATCAGCAACGCAAACTGACTTGTTGCGTCTTGATGACTTCATTTTCTAAGAAGAAAAATATTTGGGGACTTCTCGTAAGTTGTCTGAATTCGTTCAATTGAGGTGTTCCGCGTTTACTCATCATAGTTCCGGTCTTTCTCTAGCTTACGATACCAAAGAAATATCGAAAACCGTCGCAGTGTGTATTATTATTATTATCGCTTTTATTATTTGTATTGATTTTATTATTATTATTTGCAGTATAATTATTATTATCATTGTCACTACTAGTATTATTTTTACTTATTTGTTTATTGACTTAGGTTTGTCCCAATTTTCATCTTTAAACCTATCAAGAAGGAATGAGAAATGTCTCACTGTCTAACTTTTCCATTCCTTTCTGAAAACTTGCAAGTATACTTTATGCTTTTATGGAACGTTTCGACAACCGAACATCTGAGCAAGTAATTGCGGGCCTATTATGATGTTAAATATATATCTTGTTGTTCTATCAACTCGCGATATATTTGTAGCTTTACTCGTTCTGTTTATAGAGGCTAGAAATATGTTGAAGAGATTACGTAAATCATTTTTGTTGACAATAGTTATGTTCGCACTTCGTTGTCAATTCTCTTTTGCAAAGTTTTAAAAGGTCAAACATAAAAATGGAATTACAGTCGCCTATGGGTGCAGATTTCAATCGGTGCATTCACCTGGTAACGGGTAATGAAAGACGAACTTGCACATCACAAAAGCCAAACTTTGCTTTCTTCTTTAGTTTCAGCGTTTGGTGGACAAATGGCTAACGTTTTCCAAGATGCTATTCTAACGTTGACAATATTTATTCATATATTTATATATATATATATGTATATGTATAATTCCTTAAGAGTTTATTAGCTATTATGAAGCTTCGCAATAATTTAATAATACCTTCCTACAACGTTACAAGCTCGTTGTCCTTTAAATGTTCTTTAAAAGTTCTCTTGTGAAAAATCTAGGGCGTTATTAAGTAACGAAAATGGTTTTGGCTGCGATAATAACATTTTCCGTTTCCATATTTATTTAATTGCTTAAGCAGTGATTTTTTTTTTTTTTTTTTTTTTGCTTTTGCCATAATTATGTATGCGATAAAGTTAATTGTGCGCATGACCAGCAGAGTAAATCATTTTTGAAAATATATGGTATTCCAAAAAAAGGAGAAAAAAAAATTTTTTTTTTTTTAACTTTTAGTACATTAATTAATCATAATTTAACGTAATATATAAATATGCTTGATGTTGGTATTGTCGGTGTTGTCGTTGTTGTTGTATTTGTTTTTGCTGATGTTGCTGTTATTATTATGGCTATATAAACATTAATGCATATACAATTAAACAACATTTCTCACGCTTTTATCGCTTCGCAAAAAGCAATTAAATATTTAAAGTTCATAAATGTCAGTAAAGTGTTTTTTCTTCAATATTGTTAATGAGACGACGTTGGCGACCGCTACGCATAAGTTTTAAGCGAATGCGAAAATATGCGGATGAAAACCGTAAAGTAAAAAAATGAAAAAAAAAAAAAAAATTTAAACAAAAAAATATGCTTTTAATTGCATATTACCACCAAATGCAATTAACTTATAAATGAAATTCGAAACGTAAACTTATACACGCACACACACCTAAACGCGCACGCATACGCACACCGAAACCCAAACATGAGCTCGTGCAAACGTGAACATATTTATTGCTGCTAACATTCAAAGCTGATACGCCATATAAAGAATATACCAAAACTGGATGCAGTCTTCGATGGGGGGGAGGGTAGTGGTGCACTGCACCCACTAAATAACAACATTTTCAGATTTGAGGTTATTTTTTAAAAAGCGTTGATATGTTTCCAAAGTATGTTTGAAAAAATACAATTTCTTTTTTTCTTTTCATTTCATTTGAAAGCAATAAACACATAATAACAACTGATATAATTGCTAAAGTAACAAAAGTGTTTAATGCGTTTGTGTGTGTATGAGTCAATAATCAGGTCCCCCTGGGTCATTATTTCTGCTTTCGTTGCTCTTATTACGGCATATACGTCCGCAAACACAGGAACATACACATGCTAGCAAGTACAGGCAGCATACAGATGCACATACACATGTACAAAGCATACACCACATAGCCAAGTGCTGCTAAGCATAGTAGGAGGGATGTATAGATGTTCTCATTGTACTGCTTTCAAAAACACTCACATCACACACAATACGATACTCGGAGGCATACTCGTACCACATGTTTATATGACTGTATTAAATACTTTATATATATATATATATATATATATATATAGGTATGTATTTATGGATATATACACGTATATATATATATATATATTCTTAAACAGCATGTTGCATATGCTTGCTTTGTACAAACATTAAACATTTGTTGTGCCGCTAATTGCTAAACAAGTCATAGCATTTATTTACCGTTTATGTCTCGTATATAATGTAAAATCATTTACTGTTTGTTGTTCCTATTTGTTGTTTTACTTTGCTTTTTTTTATTTTTATTTATTTATTTTTTTTTGTTTTCAAATTAACTAAAACACAAGTTGATATCTTTTACTTATCATCCATCCATCCGCCTTCATACCCGAGACGACGTACATATGTACATGCGTTTGTAGTCACACTTAGGGCATTTTATCTTAATTTTAACTGCAGACAACAACAAACAAATGTTCGAAAGCAATAATTTTACAAAGCACACATTTGTATTAAATGTCGGTAATGTCTGCTTTTTGTTGTTGTTGTTGTTATTATTATTGTTATTATTATTGATGTTTATGTAAATTAGACTTTATCGTGCAGTTGAGTGAGTGACTACTTCTACACTATGTTTACGATGGTTTTTTTCCCTTTTTTTTTGCTGTTGTTGTTGTTGTCATTGTTGTTATTATTATTAATTATAAATTCATACTAATTGTAAATATATTTTTACAGTAAATGTCATTGAGATAATTTTTGTTTTTGTCCGTTCACTACTAATGATCGCAATATATTAATTGTTCGTCGTCATGACTTCGGTATAATACCAAGCAATAAATTGAGTAAAGATTAAATTCTTCGTTTTTTATGTCCGCCCATGCGTCTATCCAATTTTTCAAAGAAATAAGAAAATTAGATATGCTTTAGAACAAACCTTGGCTCTCTTCCTCTCAATGCCGTAGTTTTACATACAAA